AGAGACTAGGTTTGCTTATTTTCCAGCATCAACGATGGTCATTTTAGACACTGAAAGTGAATTTCCTAACTTCTTATTTTGAAAACAACCCCGATTTAAAATTCATTCCTTCATTTGCAGGAACATATCATTATTCCACATCCATGTTTTTTGTTGTTAGCTGATTACAAGTCTTTCTTCTGGCCCCATGACCAGGTTGTAAGCACCTTGAGGTCTGGAACTGGAACTTACTCCTTTCCTTGTTTATAAAATCTTGGCTCAGTGCTTACTTCATGGGTGTTCAATAAATCATTGTTGAGTGTGTTCTGCTTACTGCTACTCTGTTGTCACTTTTACTGGCAGTGTTTCGGTAATTCCCAGAGGTTTTCTTTGGTTTTGTTTCACTTACAAGGTATTTGGGTCGTTTATTGGCATTACGAAAACATTCCCTTAAACAAGGGAGAGACCCTGACACTAAAATCTTGCTCATTTATGAAAACTTGAGACCACGCTCTCCATTGTCTGTAGCCAGCTTAATCACAAACGGGAACAAGAATTCGAGTTCATGGAATTTTGTAACAATTCTGCACTGATATCTAGGATTAAAACCTGTCAGGTAAATCAAGTTACATAGTGGAAAACCTTGAATTCAGCAATCTGGGAAATTCATCAGTGTTTTTCAGATTGTGGATCAGGAGACCTTGGTAGGATACAATTAGTGTGACATGTCTAATAGTTTTAATATCATAAAATATAATTTTTCAAAGTGATAGACTAGGAAACATTAGAACATTTCATATTATTTCAGGAATCTTTCTGTTTCATGGATAAATTGGTAGGTAGATAGACTTGTGTATGTGCATGTGTTTGTGTGTGTGTGATGTGAAGCTGGGTCTCCATCTAAAGTGTACATTGTCGTCAAGAAAAAGGTTTAAAAACACTGAGCTTTGGACATTTGAATGTTCATAATAATTCTGAGTCTTAAATTTCCCATCTGTAAAATGGGGTTGATGATAACTATTTTGAGGGTCTATTCTGAGGATTAATGGCAGCCATATATTTAGAATACCTTACATACCGCTAATTTACATAGTAGATATGCAAAAGACATTGCCTTTTACTAAAACTAATCCATTTAAAGTTTAATTGGTTAGGATCTGTTCAAGTGTACATAGGACTGAATCAAGCAAGACTTTAAATCATGGAACGAATTTTTAAAATTCTTTCTGCCTTGAAAAACAATGATCTCAAAAAATTAATCAGAAAGGGCATTGCTTAATTCATTTGTCAATTGATTTTTCTTTGAGATATTTGCTTTTCAGTTCAATAAAAGCATTTTTAATTTATCAATCCATTCACTCAAGTAATATTTTTATAAGCTGGGATATGTCCAAAGAACATGACAGAAAGTTTTAGGTGATCCCAGACTTATCGTAGGAGGAATAGAATCCAGTGAAAACCTACAAAGAAAAATGTTTAAGATGGCATTGATTTCATATATTAAAAAGATTGTCTCAGGCTAGAGAAATTACATGTGTTCTTGGCAGAAGGAGGAATGAAGACTAATTTACTGAAAGCTATGGAATAATGGAATCCAGCTCAAAATGAGCAACAAAGTATTATACTTGAGGCTGGTATAAACATTATAGCTATCTTAGAGGGATGTTCCTTTGAGAAGGGAGGGTGAATGTAGTCAGATTTGATATTGTGCAAAAGCTCTTTTAGTTTAAAGATTCAGTGATTTTTAGATGGGCTTTTATGGATTACATATCCTGATAGAACATACGTTAAGCTTTGACATTGAGCAGTCTTGTGACATATGCAAATCAGGAACTTTTTTGAATAAGGGACCTGAAAACTGAGTCCAGCAGAAGATACTGAGGCATTTGTATATTTTTATCTGTGAAGGAATCCATGTTTATCAGGTCAGTTCCCATCAAATTGCAGGCATTTAATTGTTTTTCCCTGGCTTTCCTCTGAATTTCTCCCTTCATTTTGCTAATTATATTTATCTTGAGTACTTAGAAACAAAAGTGAAAAATAAGTCTGCCATTGGTCATTTTTGGCAGTTCTACTGGGTGCATGCATTGGTGCAAATGTAGATGAGGTTGGGCAATATGAGTATAGGAACACTTGTAAGGAAGAAGAAAACTGTTTGGTGAACTGATGAGGTCTAGAGGGGAAGAGGTGACTCTTTTTATAAAGATGATTAGTCTCACCAAAAAGCAGACCAAGAATGGATATGGTGACTATAGAGGAGAATCTTTTTTTTTTCCTGAGGCCTTTAGGAATGCTTTGAGTAGCTTTAGATTTTGTTGGCAAAATAGAACAACTTAAATGGTTTCTTAGAACCTGAAAATGGTTCCCCCCTTCAAAACAATTTATAGATGAGAAATCTGAGTTGTATAATACATGAACTGATTTGCCTAAGAAATACAGAGCTATACTACTACAAAGCCATAGTAATCAAGACAATTTGGTACTGGCACAAGAACAGAGCCACAGACCAGCGGAACAGAATAGAGACTGCAGACATTAACCCAAACATATATGGCCAATTAATATACGATAAAGGAGCCATGGACATACAATGGGACAATGACAGTCTCTTCAACAGATGGTGCTGGCAAAACTGGACAGCTACATGTAAGAGAATGAAACTGGATCACTGACTAACCCCATACACAAAGTACACTACAAATGGATCAAAGACCTGAATGTAAATCATGAAACCATAAAACTCTTAGAAAAAAACTTAGGCAAAAGTCTCATGGACATAAACATGACTGACTTCTTCATGAACATATCTCCCTGGGCAAGGGAAACAAAAGCAAAAATGAACAAGTGGGACTATATCAAGCTAAAAAGCTTCTGTACAGCAAAGGACACCATCAATAGAACAAAAAGGTATCCTACAGTATGGGAGAATATATTCATAAATGACAGATC